CGGGAGTCGATGCATCTTCAGAAAAACGGGAACGCGGGCTTTGGATGATACTACCTACTACTACTAGTAGTAAAGCTAACACGACTACTAACTATGTGCTAGACTGCTTTTGCTTTAGTTTTACGAATATACGATAAAGCTGATGTGAGGGAGGGGGTCAGTTCGGTGCCTGAGCGGAATGGCTTACGTTGAAGATGCGGACGGATGTTAGGCAGCGTTCGCTTCCTCATTCGTTTTTGTGAACTCTAATTGTATTCACACGGTTCAGAACGGTAAAACGGTTTCCAATCGTTCATGGCCTTGTTTGTTTTGCCATCTTGCGCAACGGTTATTTACTGTTGGCGAGTTGATGCGATTTTCAAGCTTGAGTTTGCTTAAAAGTTGAAAACGACCGTTAGTGTTTTGTTAAAGCGACGGGCAACTTTTGGCAGTGTTGGGTTCAGAAGTTTTTTTTTTTAACCAGGCTTGCCAGCGCGAAAGTGCTGGCTGGCGAAAACCAGGATTTCGTGCGGACACTTTCCATCCGCAGTAACAGTTCGCCAGGGTTCTGGGTTTTGGGTGGCAAATGTGCACCGTCGCTTTAAGAACTCCCCGTCCGTCAACAGAAATTGCAGCACGCGTTATGTTCGCCTCTCGATTTTGTGTGTGTGCTGATTTGGTGTTGCCCTTTGTTCAATTTGGCTTGCTCAGGGCAGGTTATCTGATTCCCTTCGGGGATTCTGTAGTTGTTTGTTCTGGTTGAGATGCATTTTTTTGTTCGCCCTTGCTACTCTCATTTGTTTTATGTTTTTTCTTGCACCCGTTTATGTCAAACTTATATGCTATAGTCTCTGTAGGCTGTAGTGGGGTAGACAATATGGGGTACAACACTTTTAGGTTTTCCTACTTGTACCCACCTATTTCCTAGTGCATTCATTCCTCGTTCTTTCACATGGTATCAGAGCAGGTTCCCTAGTGGGAACGATTCCTAGGGCCCACCACGATCGATTTTTTTTTTTCCTGCCCGGAGCGCGCTTCGCTCCTGGCCGAGTCGCGCCCCGTGTGCCTGCCCTCCCGTCGCGTCCCCTGCCCTTAGCGCAGGGCTGACGTTTCAAAAAACGCCTCCCTGTTTTTGACCCGCAATTTTTTTTTCTACTCTGACGGCACTTCGGCCGCAAAATGGCCACTCTGAGCGTGTTAAAAGAAATTAGGGTTGAAAAAAACACAACTCTGGTCCTTCAGTGTTGGGGAAATGACTTCAGAGTCGCGGTTTTTTTTTTGTTTTTGTCAGAACATTATAGCTCATGCATATTGTGTAGGCTATAGTGGGGTAGCCCATAAGGGGTACAACCCAATTAGGGTTAGTACTTGTACCCAATTCATTCATAGTTCATCCATTCCTTGTTTCTTCTCATGGTATCGAGCAGGTTCCCTAGTGGGAACGCTTCCTAGGGCCCACCACGAATTTTTTTTTTCCTGCCCGGAGCGCGCTTCGCTCCCACAGTCGCGCCCTCTCACGACCCCTCACGGCCCCTCGCGTCGCCCTTAGCGGCCCCTTACGGCCCCTCGCGCCGTCCCTTACGGCCCCTAGCGCGGCCCCTTACGGCCCCTTACGGCCCCTAGCGCGGCCCGTCGGCCCCTTACGGCCCCTTACGGCCCCTAGCGCGGCCCCTCGTGCCGCCCGTCGGCCCCTTCCGGCCCCTTACGGCCCCTCGCGCGGCTCCTTACGGCCCCTTACGGCCCCTTACGGCCCCTCGCGCGGCCCCTTACGGCCCCTCACGCGGCCCCTTACGGCCCCTCGCACCGCCCGTCGGCCCCTTACGGCCCCTTACGGCCCCTCGCGCGGCCCCTTACGGCCCCTTACGGCCCCTCGCGCCGCCCGTCGGCCCCTCGCACCGCCCTCAGCGGCCCCTTACGCCCCCCTACGGCCCGTCGGCGCCCTCCGCGGCCCCTCGCGCCGCCCCTTCACGGCCCGTCGCCGCCCTCCGCGGCCCCTCGCACCGCCCCTTCATGGCCCGTCGCCGCCCTCCGCGGCTCCTCGCGACGCGGCCCCTCGCACCGCCCTCTCCGGCCCACTGTCGCCGCCCCTACCGCAGCGGCCGCCGCCGTCCCTGCCGCAGCAGCCGCAGCCGTCGCCAGCAGCAGCCGCCACCACCTCCCTCGGGGCCGCGGCTGCTGCCGCAGCTGACTGCACCCGCCGACGCCGCTCCACTCGGCCCCGCCGCCGCTCCCCACGCGGCCTCGCCGCGCCACCTGAGCCGCCCGGGCCTGCCGAGCCGCCGTACCGCCCGAGCCGCCGTACCGCCCGAGCCGCCCGAGCCGCCGTGTCGCCGAGCCGCGCTTGCTGCCGAGCCGCCGTACTGCCGAGCCGCCCGAGCCGCCCGAGCCGCCGAGTTGCCGAGCCGCCGAGCAGCTAAGCCACCCGAGTCGCCCTGTCCGGTAAGTGCAGCGCCTCTGTCCCTGCACTGCCCTCACCCTACTGTTAGCGCTGCTAGTCTACTGCTGTCATGGCTACCCCTAGTGTCCTCGCCTTTGACGCTGAGGGTCGGGCCATTGACTTTGACGTCTGGGTAGATGACCTGCAGCTTTTCCTACAGTGCGATAGGGCAGACGGTCTCTCCCTCTTTGACCTCACCTCTGGTGCCTCTCCTGCCCCTGCTGCTGATGCCGACGCCACTGTTCGCTCCCAGTGGGCCACTCGCGATGCTGCTGCACGTCTTGCTGTGCGTCGCCACCTGCCTACCTCTGAGCGTGCGCACTTTAGCCAGTACAAGAGTGCTCAGACCTTGTACGACGCTGTAGTTGCGCGCTACTCCTCCCCTGCCACTGCTGCACTGAGCCGCCTCATGCTACCGTACCTCTTCCCTGACCTTGCTGCCTTTCCCACAGTCGCTGACCTCATTACGCACCTCCGCACTAGTGACACTCGCTACCGCGCTGCGCTTCCTGCTGAGTTCTGCGCCAAGAACCCCCCCCCCATGTACATCACCCTCTACTACATAGTCACCCGGCTCCCTGACTCCCTTCGCGTAGTCAGGGACCACTTCCTCTCCGTTTGCCCCACCACTCTCACCGTTGACCTCCTCGAGAAGTCCCTCCTAGCAGCAGAGAAGAGCATAGTCGCTGTAGGAGCCTCTCGTGGTGACCCTCGCACCCCCATCTTTGAGGGGTGTTCCCCCTCCCCCCTTTTGCCCTCTGTTGCCTCTGTTGCTGCGGCCGACCTCGTTGGGCTTGAGTCGGTCGGTGCGGCGTCTACCCCTAGCGGGAGACGTCGCCCTGGCAAAGGCAAGGGGGGCAGGGGCACTGGAGGAGCTAGCGGGGGCGGTGGAGGTAGCGGTGGAGGCGGTGGAGGGGGTGGGGGTGGTGGTGGGAGTGGTGGCGGGGGCGGAGGTGTCGGTGGCGGCAGTGGAGGCGGAGGCGGCGGTGGCGGTGGCGGTGGGAGCGGAGGTGGCGGCGGTGGAGGAGGAGGCGGCGGAGGAGGTGGAGCTGGTCGGGGTGGCGCTGCACAGAGGGGCGGCTCCGGTGGTGGTCAGCGCCAGCAGCAGCAGCAGCAGCAGCGCACTCGTGACATCCCCTCCCCACAGCAGCTCCGTGAGTGGTACACTGCACGCCAGAGGGGTGGGGGTACTGGCCCGTGCACCTACGTCCTACGCACCGGCGACCGCGCGGGTGAGCAGTGCGGGGGTGCGCACTCCACCCAGCGCTGCTTTGGCCGCCTGACGGACGCTTGGCGTCACCAGTTCCCTGAGGCCACTGAGATCCCCCGCTGGGGTGAGCTGTCTAGGGCGGGTGTAGCTGTCTTTGACCTTGACTTTGATGCTATTCTTGCTGCCATGTATACTGTGACTATTAGTGATGAGGGTGACTGTTACCGGTGTTTTCCGCCCGACCCGGGCATTGAGACTGCTGCTCTAGGTACTGGTGAGGCTGCTGCTCTAGGTGCGTCTGCTCCCTCAGGTGCTGGTGAGTCTGCTCTCTCAGGTTCTGCGTCGGCTTCGGCCTCCCACACCTTCACCCTTGACTCGGGGGCTTCTCGCTCCTTCTTTCGAGACCGCACCACACTCACGCCGCTTGACCGGCCAGTTGCAGTCTCTCTGGCAGACCCCTCTGGGGGTCCTGTCCTTGCTCACTTCTCCACTGTCCTCCCGTGTCCGGCGGCCCCCTCTGGCACCCTGTCTGGTCTTTACCTTCCCTCGTTCTCTACGAACTTGGTGAGTGGTGCTGACCTACAGGATGCGGGGGTTCACCAGTTCACTCCTGCGAGTCAGCGGGTGACCCACTGCACGGACGCTCGGACAGGCCGACACCTGGCCACGTTTACCCGTCGGCCGGGGTCGAGCCTGTACACCCTGACCACTGCGTCTCCTCCAGTCACTGCGTCTGGTCAGGTAGCTGCGTCTGGTCAGGTGTTTGCTGCAGCGTCCAGGTCTGGTCCTGAGTCTGCCCCCTGTTCGTGTCGCCTCCTGTCTCACGAGACTCTCCTCTGGCACCACCGCCTTGGTCACCCCTCCCTGCTTCGTCTCCGAGGCATGGCCTCCCGTGTCCTTGTCTCTGGTCTTCCCCGGTCCCTCCCTCCCCTTCCTCCGGGGCCTGGCCCTACCTGCGTCCCCTGTGTCGAGGGGCGGCAGCGGGCTTCCCCTCACTCCTCCCAGTTTCCTCCGACAGAGGCCCCGCTGCAGACGCTTCACATGGACGTGTGGGGCCCGGCCCGCGTCCGTGGACAGGGTCACGAGCGCTACTTCCTGCTGGTGGTTGACGACTACTCGCGTTACACCACAGTCTTCCCCTTGCGCAGCAAGGGTGATGTCACTGAGGTGTTGATCGACTGGATCCGCGCAGCTCGTCTCCAGCTCAGGCGGAGCTTTGGCTCAGACTTTCCTGTTCTGCGTCTGCACTCTGACAGAGGCGGAGAGTTCTCCTCTGGCCTTCTGCGAGCCTACTGTCGTGCACGAGGCATCCGCCAGACCTTCACGCTTCCGGACTCTCCACAGCAAAATGGGATTGCTGAGCGCCGCATTGGCATGGTCATGGACGTCGCCCGTACGTCCATGATGCATGCGGCTGCCCCCCATTTTCTGTGGCCGTTTGCTGTTCGGTACGCAGCGCATCAGATCAACCTTCAGCCCCGGGTCTCCATGCCGGAGACCTCCCCAGCTTTACTGTGGACGGGGAAGGTTGGCGATGCGTCTGCGTTCCGTGTCTGGGGATCTCGGCCGTTTGTCCGCGACTTGTCTGCGGACAAGCTGTCCCCTCGTGCTGCTCCTTGCGTCTTCCTGGGTTTCCCCCCTGACGCCCCCGGGTGGCAGTTCTACCACCCCACCTCTCGCCGTGTTCTGTCCTCCCAGGACGTCACGTTCGACGAGTCGGTCCCCTACTACCGCCTCTTCCCCTACCGTACTCCGTCCCTCCCCCCGCCACCGCTCTTCCTTGTACCAGGTCCCCCCCCGGTAGACCCCCTCCCCCCTCAGGGTCCTGCCCCTTCAGGTGTGTCCCAGGTAGACGCTATTGAGCCTGTCGAGGTCGCTGGTGACTCTGGTGCTGCTGAGGGTGCTGAGCCTGGGAGTGCTGACTCTGGGGGTACTGAGCGTGTGGGTGCTACGCCTGGGGGTGCTGAGCCTGAGGGTACTACGACTGGGGGTGCTGAGCCTGGGGGTGCTGAGTCTGGGGGTGCTACGCCTGGGGGTGCTGAGCCTGGGGGTGCTACGCCTGGAGGTGCTGAGCCTGGGGGTGCGGAGCCTGAGGGAGCTGGGCCTGCTGGTGCTGTGCCTGGCGGTTCTCCGGGTGCTTCTTCTCGCCGGGAGCCACTCTCTCCACAGGAGCTGCGTGAGTGGTTTGCCCGGCGCTGGAGGCGAGCTGCTGGAGCTGGAGGAGCTGTGGTAACTGGAGTTTTTGTTGCTGCTGAGGGCGCTGGTGCCACGGGTCCCGGAGGTGCTCGTACTGGGCGTACTGGAGCTGCTGGACCTGCGGGTACTTCTGGAGCTGGAGCTGCTGCGGGTGTTGGCGCTGAGGCTACTGCTGTCGGTCCTGGAGGCGGTCCTACTGGGGGTGCTACAGGTGCTGCTGGAGGTACTGGAGCTGGAGGTGCTGCTGGCGCTGGTGCTGCTGCTGGCGGTTCTCCGGGTGCTTCTTCTCGCCGGGAGCCACTCTCTCCACAGGAGCTGCGTGAGTGGTTTGCCCGGCGCTGGAGGCGAGCTGCTGGAGCTGGAGGAGCTGCGGTAACTGGAGTTTTTGTTGCTGCTGAGGGCGCTGGTGCCACGGGTCCCGGAGGTGCTCGTACTGGGCGTACTGGAGCTGCTGGACCTGCGGGTACTTCTGGAGCTGGAGCTGCTGCGGGTGTTGGCGCTGAGGCTACTGCTGTCGGTCCTGGAGGCGGTCCTACTGGGGGTGCTACAGGTGCTGCTGGAGGTACTGGAGCTGGAGGTGCTGCTGGCGCTGGTGCTGCTGCTGGGGGTACTGGTGCTGTCCCTGCTGTGTCTGGAGTCGCCGCGCGGCCTCGGCCGTACTTCGTTCCGCTCCTTCAGCAGGTTCTTGGCCTCCCGCCTTCTACTGGTCCTCCTCCTCCCTTAGAGTGTCCACAGCCTGTCCCGTCGCAGTTACAGTTACAGCCGGCCTCCCCACTGCCTGCTCCGTCTCCCTACACTGGTCCTACTGGAGGTCTTGCTGAGCGTCGTGAGCCTACGTCTCGCCCTGCGTCGCCTGTCCGTGCTGCTCGCACTAGTGGTCGTGGTTCGCGTCAGCGTCCTCCTCCTGTCCCTGGCACGCACCGGATGTCTCTGCGTCCGTCCACTGCTCCACTGCGTGCCCCTTTGCCTTCTCCTCCTGAGTCTTCTCTTCCTGCTCTTGCCGACCCGGAGTCGGACTCTCTTCGTGCTGCCAGTCCTACTGTCACGCGTCTCCTTGCTACTGTTGTCACTGACCCTTCCTTTGAGTCCACTGCTGCGTCTGCCCTAGTTGCTGAGCTCGTCGACTTTGCTGCTCGCTGTCGCCTAGACTACGTCGCCAGTCTTGTTGCTGAGTCTGAGTCTGTCTGTCCTCCGTCCGTCGGGGGTGAGTGTGCCCTTGGCACGGACGTCCTTGAGGACAGGCAGGAGGAGTTCCAGTGCTTGGCCGCTGCTTCACCTCATCTCGTGTCCGTACTGCTTACCCCTGAGGGAGACCCGGATGCACTTGACATCCCGACTCCGCGCTCTTACGCGGAGGCGATAGAGGGTCCCTACTCCTCTCAGTGGCAGGCAGCTATGGACGCAGAGATGGCTTCCTGGAAGTCCACAGGCACCTACGTGGACGCTGTTCCCCCTCCTGGGGCGAACATCGTCAGTGGCATGTGGATTTTCAGGGTGAAGCGACCGCCGGGTTCTCCGCCTGTCTTCAAGGCGCGTTACGTGGCTCGTGGCTTCAGTCAGCGGCAGGGAGTTGACTACTTTCAGACCTTCTCTCCCACCCCGAAGATGACCACTCTTCGGGTACTGCTGCACGTAGCTGCTCACCGTGACTACGAGTTACACTCTCTTGACTTCAGCACTGCTTTCTTGCAGGGCAGCCTGCACGAGGAGATCTGGCTGCGTCGCCCTCCTGGTTTCACTGGGTCTTTTCCTCCTGGCACCCAGTGGAGCCTACGGCGGCCAGTCTACGGTCTCCGCCAGGCACCGCGTGAGTGGCACGACACACTGAGGACTACACTTGCGGCTCTTGGGTTTGCTCACTCTACTGCTGACCCGTCGCTGTTTCTGCTGACCGACACTTCTTTGCCGCCGTTCTACATCCTCGTGTACGTCGACGACTTGGTCTTTGCCACAGCTGACACTGCTGACCTGGGTGAACTGCGCAGCTACCTTGGCCTGCAGATCACTCGGGACAGAGCACGCCGCACCATTACCCTGACTCAGTCACACATGGTGCAGCAGGTCCTTCAGCGCTTCGGCTTCACGTACTCCTCGCCTCAGGCCACTCCTCTGCCTACTCGCCACTCGCTCTCAGCTCTGCCTTCGGATGAGTCCGTAGAGTCGAGTGGCCCGTACCCAGAGCTTGTTGGCTGCCTCATGTACCTGATGACCTGCACTCGACCTGACCTTGCATACCCTCTTAGCATTCTCGCACGCTATGTTGCTCCTGGGAGACACCGACCAGAGCACATGGCTGCAGCGAAGATGGTGTTGCGCTACTTGTGCAGTACGTCGGGCATGGGGCTAGTGCTTGGAGGGCGGCGTTCAGTGGTCCTCACCGGTCACGCAGACGCTTCTTGGGCTGACGACCAGGCTACGCAGCGGTCGTCACAGGATTACACCTTCAGCCTTGGTTCCGGCTCTGTTTCGTGGCGGTCTACCCGCTCGTCTTCTGTTCTCGGCTCCAGCTGTGAGGCTGAGATCTACGCGGGGGCCATGGCTGCACAGGAGCTACGCTGGCTCACCTACCTGCTGACTGACCTAGGAGAGCCACCTCGTTCTCCTCCAGTTCTGTACGTAGACAACAAGGCCATGCTGGCCTTGTGTCGGGAGCACAGACTGGAGCACAGAACGAAGCACATTGCTCTTCGTTACTTCCTTGCTCGTGAGCTGCAGCAGCGTGGTCAGCTGCGCCTTGCTTACGTGGCCTCTGAGGCCAACACTGCTGATATCTTTACCAAGGCACTTCCGCCTTGTGATCATCAGCGCTGCTGTACGATGCTAGGTCTTGTGCCTGCTTGGCCTCACTTGCTCACTTCTTGACCTTGCTTGTACTGTGATCTATCTATACCTGCACTTGCTTGTTTACCTTTATATATGATCTTGCATGTGAACTGGCCTTGTGGCCTTGAACTTGTGCTCGGAATGTGTGGTGACGTTGTGATCCACCCTGAGCTTGCTTTGCTTTGCTTGACTGGTCTTGTGACCTCTTGTTCTCCCCCACTTTGCCTATGGGGGTGTGTGAAACTTATATGCTATAGTCTCTGTAGGCTGTAGTGGGGTAGACAATATGGGGTACAACACTTTTAGGTTTTCTTACTTGTACCCACCTGTTTCCTAGTGCATTCATTCCTCGTTCTTTCACAGTTTAGTGCTACCCCGTATAGCCCGTCCGTGTTCTGCTATGGCCTAGGTCGTTTTTCGCCACCTTCGTGCTAGGTTTGAAGCACTGAATCACGATATTTTGTTCCCGCTTATCGGCACCCTCCTGCTTTTCGTTCTGTTCAAAATGTAGGTGGGCGGGAGATTCGCGGAGGATTGCAAAGTGACTACAGTATTTGGTCGGAAGGTGAGAACAATCACACAAACTAATGCTGAGTAGCGAGTGACAGAGGCGAAACACAAGATGGTGCCTTATGGCCTCACCGACCACTGGTTTGCGGTGTCGGTCACACTTAAGTCGGCGTCGGCAGGGGATCATGGGCCTGGTCTCTGGAGGCTTCAGGCGTCGCAGGCCGGCGGAGAAGGATCTCATAATATCATAGCAGCGGTGCTGGAAGCGCAGGCAGACCAGCCGACTCAGAGCTTGGAGAGACTTATGTTGCATCTGCGGGCAAGCATGAGAGCGCACGTAGCGGAGGAAAGGAAACGGGTGAAGGCGACCATGCTGCATCTGGAGCAGAAAGTGGAATCCCTACGGTGGAGGGTGATGTCAGATCCATCGGCACAAGACGCGTACGAAGAGCTGGTAAAGAGTGAAGCGGCCCTAAAACTTTACCAAGATGTTAACAAGGAGCGGCTCCAAGTCATGGCAGGGATGCTGGCGGAGCTGGCGGGGGAGACACCATCGGCCTTCCTTTCGGGCCTGGTCAAATCAAGAAAAGCGAAGACAGAGATCAGCGAGCTATTGTTTAAAGGCACACGCCTGAAAGGGGCAAAGGAGGTGTTGCGGGCGGCTTCTGAGCATTTCCGAGAGGCATACACATGCTCACCGGCTGGGACCACCAAGGAGCCGTGGCCGATCGATGAAAGGCGGAGACTACAAGAGGCAGACCGGGAGCTGTTGGGGAGAGAATGGTCGGAGCAGGAGGTGAAGCTGGCGCTCAAGGGGCTCCCAGTGGGTAAAGCCCCCGGTCAAGATGGGCTGCCGAAGGAGTTCTTTGAGCGCAACTGGGACCTCCTCGGGCCAGCTGTGATGAGGGAGGTCAAAGAGTTCGAAAAGACGGCGCGGCTATCCGAAGCTTTCCTGACGGCAGTTACGATCCTGTTGCACAAAAAGGGGGACAGAGACAACTTGAGCAACTACAGACCAATCACTCTACTGTGTTTCTTCTACAAGTTGGTGGCGAAAGTGTTGGCAAACAGGATCAAGGCGGTCTTACCGAAGGTGATATCGGAAAATCAGTTCGGCTTCCTCCCGGGGAGAAGCCTAGCCGACACGGTCTCTCTTGTAGCTGACACGATTGACGCTGCGGTGGAGGAGGATGAGGACTGGCTGCTGCTTCTGGTCGACTTCCAGAAGGCATACGACTCGGTGTCGCGGGAATACCTGTTCAAGACACTCGAGAACATGGGCTTCCCACCAGGATACTTGGGATGGGTGAATGGTCTTCATGACGGCGCTGCCACCAGGTTGTTGCTAAACGGCTGGGTGGGGGACAAGGTGGAAATGGACAAGGGCGTTCGGCAGGGCTGCCCTCTCGCCCCTTATCTCTTCCTCTGCGCCGTAGAGCCACTCTGCCAGGAAATCGAGAGGAGAAAACTGGGAGTCAGGAAGAGGGGGGTCAAAGGAGAGCTGGCCTACATCGGCTATGCGGACGACACGACCCTGGTCCTGAGAGGGAAAGAACAGGTGGTATCGGCAAAGAAGCTGTTAGATGACTTCGCGGAGATATCGGGGCTGAAGGTGAATCAGGAGAAAACATCGCTGATGCCGCTGGGGAAAAACAGGAGGAGGTTGCAGCCGCTGGTTTCACCTTTCACCTGGGTAGACAAGGACAGAGCGGAGAGGCTGTTAGGGATCTGGATTACATCTGGTGGATCGCCGGAACCAGCTTGGGACAAGGCTTTCGAGAGTGTAAGCGCGGTGCTGAGTTGCTGGGAAACAAAGCACCTCAAGACGTCTGCACGTGTCACCATTATCAACAGCTACGCGATGCCGATCCTGCTGTTTCAGGCCCAAATATACGCTCCGCCACACGAAGTCTGGACGAAGGTGAAACGACTCTGCCACAACTTCATCTCCGGGGGCAAAGCACTGCTGGACAGACATTTCATCCTTTGGAGCTATGACCTGTCATGTCGGGAAAGAAAGGAGGGCGGCCTGGGGGTGATCGATCTGAAGCATAGGATAGACAGCAGCGTGATCCAGAATCTGGGGAAGGCCCTGGTGGAGCAAGAACCGTTGAGAGTCTGGTTATGGGAGAGGGCGGCAGGTTTCCCGCTCGGCCTGGCGACGGTCTACGCCCACCCTTCGATTCTGAACCACTGGTTGGGAGGAGGGACAAGATGGAAGGCAGCTGTTAAAGCCCTTTGGGACTCAAAGATCTTGACCATGGGCGACCCTGCGCACAGATGGGATGCGGAGGAGGAGCAACTGCTATTCAACCGGAAAATCTTTTTCAGAGGACGGTCGCCCTTCGGAAATCAGGCGGGCTCGCACTGCTTGAAGGGTGTTCGCTTGGGGGACTTGCTGAAGAAAAACCGCGACGGCTGCAGAACCGTCAAGTGTGACGCCACTCTGGAACAGGAGCTGGGGGGAATCGACCAACGAAAGTGGGCCCGGAAAGCGTGGGAGGCAACGCCGCAGAGTTGGAAAGACATGTTACTCACTCAGCTGACTGCAGAGGAGGTTTTCAGGGAATCACGGCTGGTGCGAATACCGTCGTACAGGCCGAGGGAGTTTTTCTACTACACACTGGAGTACACGGTTAACGGTGTGCTATATGGAAAGCGGGCGGAAGTTGACAAGAAGGGTCACATATCTGCGTTGGAGTACGCCAGTGTGGTATCGGTCGACCATTTAATCGCCACACCTATGGCGGTCATAGAGGGGAGGATGCATGGCTTACTGGGCGACCCGAGGTCACGACTGCTGCACTCGCCAATCTGCGATAAGGGGGAACGAGCTGAACTAAGACAACTGCGAAGGGCAATGAGGCCTTCACCTGCTCAGCCCAAACAACAACTGCAGTGGGAGGAAAGGAGGGGGAGAAAGATTGACTGGAGGAGAGCCATCAAGATTCGTGACTCACTTGCAACCCCAGCCAGGGCACGGGAAGTGGTGCTGAGAGTGCACAGCAACAACCTGCAGGTGGGGGAGAGACTTCCGTTCCTGGGCGCGAGGGCGCGCTGTGTTCATTGCGGGGAGGTGGAGTCACTGGACCATTGCCTTTTCAGCTGCCCCACGATACAACTAGTGGTGGGGGTGATGAAGAGGGCAGTACGATGTATGAACCCGGGCAGGTGCATGGAGAGCCTCGGAGACATGATGTTCCAGAAAAGCAGCACGTCGACGGGTTTTCCGGAGGCGGCTTTCATCTCGATCACAGCACACCAAGTCTGGCTAGAGAGGTGTAACGCGGTTTTCAGGGGCAGTCGGTTCCAGCCAAAAAGGGCACTGCGGCGCATAGCGGTGAGCTTCACAAGACACGTGAAGATCTACAGCCGGGCTCGGAAAAGGGTGGCTGGCAAGAGGGCTCCGAAAAAGATAGGTGACTGGAGTCATTTGGCAGCTGACGAGGCGGATGTCATGCGCAAATTGTACCAATGCGAAGCTTCGATGACGTGGAAGGCAGGTTTCAAGGCAATTTGGGAAGATGGTGGGGTGGCTTTCCAACCTCCGTAGAGATGAAGAGGGGGGAAATGTTTCTCGAATCATTTAGCCCTCCTAGAAACAGTTACGACTGCGGATGTATGGATGCACGTTGTATACTTATATCCACCAAAAAAAAAAAAAAAAAAAAAAAAACAAACAAACTAATGCGCATGGGCCACGTGTATTTCCATACTTTTGTCGTGCCCTTCAGTTCAGTGTACGGCTGAAAACGGTTTCACCCTTCTCAACCGTGTTATCGGTGCACTGTGTTTGTGTTTTTTGTTTTGTTTGGTGTTTGCCCTAATTGGCTGCTGTTCTTTTGCTCGTCCCTGCTACGCTTTGCTGTTTTCGAACCCGTTTTTTCTACCCTTTGCTGCTCGTCTGGTGTTTTGCTATAACCTAGGCCGCCGTTTTCCACAAGCCCTGATTTCGCCACCCCCCTGCTTTTTTGCCAGCCTTTGCGTGTATTACTCGGTCTGTTTTTTTGTTTATTTGACCGTGTTAGTGCCTTTTGTCTGGTATTCGGCTAAGTATTGGCTAGTCTTCTTTTCGAAACCCTTTTCATTGCGACACTTACTGAAACACGTGTATTTGTCTTGTTAACCCACAAAAACAATTTGGCGCTGTACAGTAACCTGCTGCCTAAACCCAACTGTACAACGCGCTGTAGTTTGGGTCCCCTGCCCAATATCGACGGTTAAGAATTGCTCGCACAGGTTTGACTATGCTCAACAGTTGTGAATCGAGCGAGCGAGCCACGTGCTCGTTTTCAACAGACGTTGCGCCCCTCAGTGCAGGACGCGATGGATAAAACGATAACATACTGGAAACATTTTCACCGCCTTCAACCGTGGTAAGAGAAATTAGGGTTTCTGAAAAGGCTGCAAGGCAACTCCCACAAAGACTCGACCCCCAGCTTCCATCATATTTCTTCTGCCTAATCGAAGGCACCCTTCCCTCTCTTCACCATCGCACCACTTAACCCTGCACAGCCCGTCGTTCGCAGCGGCACTAGCAGTAGTACTAGTAAGGATAGGTGTTAGTAGCGGCCTGACTGGTGATTTTTAAAGTTCCTCTTAAAAATTATCGCTAGTTTCCAATCGCATAGAGGCTCGTGATTAAGTATTAGTAAGTGCCGCTCAAGACGACGATTTTCACCTATCCGATAGGTGACTCGGGCCTTCTGGTACTCGTGCCAATCCCGCCTCGGCGGGTAATCGCGGGTTACTCTGCTGGGCACCGCCGTGGCACGCGCATTTCGCGGAAAAATAAAAAAAAACAGTGCGCGGCTCAGCCTAGGTTTTCTTCCGCAGACCTACTACGCGGACCCCGGCGTGCAGCCCAACCCCGAATGATGGCGGCAAGATTGGTGCTTGCTGCTGTCACGCCGCCGCGTTGCGCCGGAGCCGCCTTGCATGGCATCTCGTCGATTATAGCTTTGTCGTGGCTGTCGTGCCGCGGGATGTCTGCCAGGTGAGAACAGCGGTGCGCTCGCAGCAATTTCGCCCAGATTTCCTCTCTCGTATTTCCTCTCTTACCTCCCTCGTTCTGGCACCGCCAGCTTCCGGCGCTCAGGCCCTCCCCCAGCGATCTCCTCGCGCATTGTGAGTCGACGCCTTGCGCCGCTACCACTGCTGGCTCCGCGGACTGCAGCGAGCACGCTGCTGGCCGGGATAGGCAGCGAGCAGCTCGCAAGCAGCTTCAGGCGTGGAGAATGACATGGCGGATCAGATCGGTGACGTGGCAGCGTGAACATTCGCGATTGGCTGCGATTCTGCGACTGCGTCGATCCAGGTGGGCCAAGGCTGTCAGATACCTTGTGAAAAGCCTCTGATTACTTGTACCGCCTCTGATTCTGCCGCGGCGGTCTCCATCAGAGCCAAGCAAGGAGACTAGTTGTATGTCACCTGTTTTTCGTTTCCTCTCCCTTTTTCTCCTCCCATTGTCTCCTCACCGCCTCAATCGCAACAGACGATGAGGAGTACGTGTTAGGCGCCACTGACGTGGCGATGGCAACCATTGCACAGGCGCATGCTTCCTGGCAGCTTCTCACGACGACAGCCCGCCCCGCTGCCCTGCCCCTGGAGCCCCGCGCGTCTCCTCCTCTCCAGGAAAGGAAAAATGGCGCAAGTACACTGATGGGTACTGCAAGGAGGCGGCTTGTAAAGAAGACTGCAAGGGCGGCTGCGGCTGCGGTGGTGGTGGCTGCTGGGAGAGAGAGAACGGGGGAAGAGGCTTGAGTTGTGGAAGCTGGCGGAAGCTGGCAGGGGGAAGGTGCGGCGATCCAGGTGGCGCAAAGCAAAGGGGAAAGGGCAATCGGATGAGGTACACCTGACAGCTGCTGCCTTCCGTACAATCCCTTCCGCCGCTTCCCATCACCCGTGTTTATCAATCCAACCAACAAGCCTCGCAGCTATATTGCATGGCACCGTTGGCTTGTATCTGGCTGGCTAGACACCGTATCACTAGATATCCGCCGTATCTAGGTTTTATGTAACTGGGTTCCTGCTACCCCTTCCCTCCCCCCTTCCTTTCCCCCGTCACTTGGTCACTCACCCACCCTCCCCCTTGCCCACCCATTCCAGTGGACTCCTTTTCCTCACACATCCCTCCCTCGTCTCTCCTCTTCAACCTCCCGCATTCTCCTAGTTTCACCTCTCAAGAGAGAGTGACTCCCCCTCGCGCCCACTGCCCATTCCCCCAGCCGTGCCTCCATACTTGTCCTCTTCTCGGATCTCCAGCCTTATTTTTGCTCCACTCGCATGCGCTTGCTGTTCCACTCCTCTCCACCCTTCCCCTCTTCCATTTTCTAGAGCTGCCCTCGCTAAGCTACCCCTTAATTTGGCCCAACTATCCCTCAAACTACCCTCAAGCCGCCCGAGTGCTTTCACTGCTGAGAGATTCCCCCCCACCCGCTCTCCGTCATTCCTCTCTTTCACTCCTTCTCATCCTTTTCAACCTTCAGAGCTCACATCACTGCCCCACGAGCTGCAGCGCATGCTCTCTCTCTCATAAGGGGGCTCAACCCTCCTCCATCTCTCTCCCTCTTCCACTCACCTTCCCCACCCTACAGAGGTGTCATCACTGCCCCACGAGCTGCAGCGCATGCTCTCACTCATGAGGGAGCTAGACGGCCGATGCCAAGGTAAGTTCTGAGCTACCCTGCTGTTGCCAAGGGGTGTGTATTTGGCAATACTGGGTGCGCTTCTTTTGCAAATGTCTTAATTTCGCTCTCCCTCGCCTACTCTCCGTTCCCCTTCCACTCCCTCACTCATCCACTCGCCTCCACTCGCCCCAACAAGCATCCACTCGCCGAAACACCTATTCTTTGGCTCCCCTTCCAATCCCTGAACGATAAACCCTACATTTGAATCCCTCAGTCCCTCACTTTCTTTTCTCTCTCACACCCTTCCATTCCGCCCTACCACCTTCCTGCTCTCCTGCCCTGCAGCGCTGTACAGCCTCTGTTGTTGGAAACACAATCTCCTCTAGTTATGCATGACAAAACATAACGAATTGGGGGAGCTCCCTCCCTCCCTCCCTCCCTCCCTCCCTCCCTCCCTCCCTCCCTCCCTCCCTCCCTCCCTCCCTCCCTCCCTCCCTCCCTCCCTCCCTCCCTCCCTCCCTACCTCCCTCCGTCCATCCCTACCTCCCTCCCTCCCTACCTCCCTCCGTCCATCCCTCCCTCCCTCCCTCCCTCCCTCCCTCCCTCCCTCCCTACCCCCCTCCCCCCCTCCCTCCCTCCCTCCCTCCCTCCCTCCCTCCCTCCCTCCCTCCCTCCCTCCCTCCCTCCCTCCACTCCCCCCCTCCCTCCTTCCACTCCCTCCCTCCCTCGTTCGACTCTCCCTACCCCCAGCGCTGCGCATGGAGATTCAGAGAGACATTCGGGCGGGGCTGACAGCCATAGAGGAGAGGGAGGCGGCCCTCATAGCAGCTGATGCTGGCCCACATGAGCACGGGGATGGGGATTGTGATGGGGATGGGGATGGCGAGGGGGATGGGGAAGACGATGCTGCTAGCGACGGTGATGCTGACGATGACGAGAGTGATGAAGCTGATGTGCCTGATGATGGTGGGGCTGCTGTGCCCCCTAATGCCCTCTCTCCTGCCACGGGTGCTCCTGATGCTGTGCTGGGTAGTGAGCAGCAGGAGCGAAGCAGAGGAGGGGGTGGAGAAGGAGGGGAAACGGGGGACGTGGGAGATGCTGGTAGGATGAAGTCTGAGGCTGGGGAGGAGAGTTTGAAGCAAGGAAGGAGCACAGCACAAGAGGGTATGGCTGCTCTTGCACCAGGTGGCACACCAGCAGGCAAGGGTGAGAAGGAGGCAGGGGGAGGTGGGGAGAAGCGACCGAGGGGGAGACCGAGGAAGAGAGGGAGAGGGGAGAGGGAGGACGTGGGCGGGGAGGGATGGGTGGGTGGTACGGTGAAGGTGGAGGAGGAGGTGGAGGAGGGAGGGGGGAGGAAGAGCATCGGAAAGAAACGGCCACGAGCACAGCAGCAGCAGCAGCAGCAGCAGGAGGAGGAGGTGGAAAGCAAGGATGAGGCTGCTGCAGTGGTAAAGGCCGAGCCTGTGTGAGTGTGTATATGCTATATGTGATGTATGGTGCTGTGATTCAAGTGCAAGAGGATGCTCGAAGAGAGGTTTGGGATGGTGCAAGCAAAGATTGAAGGCTGCTGTTACACAAAACAAAAATTCTTCAGATTGATGGATAGGAACAAAAGGTGAGGATGATTTATCATGTCGGAAAACTCAGCTTTCGAATGCCAATATTCTAGATTGTAATCGTAAAAGTTGTTATGCTTTATGTGTTTTCAGACGCTAGTGGTGTCCGAGCAATATATTAAGATTATACGTTGTTTCATTGTAACGATCCGAGATTGTAACACAGGTTGCTCGAGTGAAGGCGGAGGGGTGGCTGGAAGAGGAGGTGGCATCGGTGCTGCAGCAGATGGCAAAGCAGGAGGGGCTGGAGGGGAGGAGGCAGGTGCAGGCGGAGCAGTTACTCAAGACTGCAGTGCATGATGATGCTCATGGTGGTGCTGCTGGCAGTGAGAGCGAGGGTGCTGCTGCTGCTGGGGGCGAGGAGGCAGGGGTAGCGAAGGGTGAAGAGAGTGATGCTGGGAGCAGCAGCAGCAACAGCAGCAAGGCAGCAGAGGCACCGAAGAGAAACCGGCCTGTTAGAGTGGAGTAGCATGTGATCATGTGGTGTTGGGTGCTGTACTCGTAATGCAAGAAATGTATATTTTTAAAAGCTGTAACGCTTTTCAAATTATGTATTTTGAAAGCAAAGCTGCTTGTAATGTAGGATTTGGCAGCGTCGAGCCGCGCTAAACGCCCGTTTTGGAGTACAAAACGTGGGCTGGAGGTCATTTCCCTCCACCCACGTCTCTCATTTTCAAACGGTTTAGCCGATTTTCCCGCCCCCCCCCCCCCCCCCTCGGAAACAGGATAGCCGTAGGAACATAGAGGCATATCTTTGTAATATCACTATGGATTTCAATTGTACTAAACCCATTTGAAATGAGACGATGCCAATTGCTACATGCAAGAAAGCAAGCTTTCTAAATTACCTTTTCAGTACCAGCTGCTTGCCATTTGTGTAAAGAGAAGCAAGGCAGCAGAGAAACTGGCCTGTTGGAGTGGAGTAGCGTAGCATGTGATGTGATCAGGTGTCTGACAGGCTCTGTACGTACCCGTAATGCAGGAGTACCGTTTTGTATACCTGTCCTGTTGCTTGCCAATTGTGTAAAGATGTGCTGCGTGTTACTGTGAAAGTTGAGTGCCAGCCAGCAGGGTAACCTAAGATCTCATCAGATCAGATCTGTACGAAATATGTTACTCTGTATGTATGCATTGCATTGAATACATGAGGTGTTGAGCACTGTACGCCAGCTACAAGCAACCTTGCAAGCTCAGGCTAACGGGAGGTTGGCTCGCCCTTTCTCTGCTTCGTGTGTTGCACATGTGAATGGGTTTGAATGAGAACTGGTTGGACTTTGTAACCATGGTTGCATGATTTCAGGTGTGATTGCAGACAGCCAAACCCAATCAATACACGCCAACAGAGAAACTCTTCACCTATAATGAGCGACCAGTAAAGCTACTCTCTAAGCACACTCCCTACACCGTGCAGTCTTGGTAGATCACCCAATAATGATCAACTTATGCTGCCCTAATTGCTAAATCGCCCTAGCACCATTCAGGATAACCCTCAAACACAGCGCCAGTAACACGAGGCCTGCCATGCCTCGCCCATCATCGCGCTCCGCCTGCAGCGGCACAGCAACGCCCACCGCCCGTCACACACCACCCATAATGCCTCGGAGCCTCTTCCTTCACGCAGCGCCGGCCTTCTTGACGAGCAGCTCGGCAATCTGCACGGCGTTGAGGGCCGCTCCCTTGCGGATCTGGTCGCCACACACAAACAGGTCCAGCCTGGTGTGGGTGGGGGGTGGGGAGGGAGGGAGGGCAGGAGGGGACAGAGGCACACAGGATGAGGGAAAGGCAGGGCCGCCCCCTTGCGGAACTGGACACCACACACAAACAGGTCCAGGTTGGGGTGGGTGGGGGGTGGAGGAGGTGTATGGATGGGAGAACTCGTATAGATGGAAAGAACTTGTGGGCCCACTTAACAATTGGTCGCCACACACAATTAGGCTGGGGTGGGAGGGGAGGGGACGGGGGGAGGGTGGGAGGAATGTTGGGATAGATATGTGTGGGGAGGGGACAGAGAGAGGGTGGGAGGGATGGAGGGAGGGACTATTGAGTGCGAATTCGTCGCCACACAGAAACAGGTCCAGCAGAAGGGTGATTCGCAAAGGAAGGGGAGAAAGTCATAAACTTAGTTCTGTATATTCTGTCACTTCATCAATCTCTGCTGCACTGCTTGCTTCCAGATTGCACTTTTCCTCTTGTTACAAGTGGCGCTTGAGGCATCTCTCAAACCCACCAGCCCTGTCTCTCAGCCCCGCTCTCACCCACACTCCCGTTCCCAGCCACTTCCTCACCCTCCACTTCCGCAACCCTCAGCCTCACCCCTTGTTGTCTGGTTGCGAGATGTCCTGCCGGATGCGGCCCACCGCCACGTCATCCTTGTTGGACACCTGGCGGGCGGCACGTGGGGATGGGGAATGGGAGAACACAGAAGGGCAGCATGAGTGGGGGGGACATGGGGATGGGATGGGGAAACAGAGAGGGGCTGCATTCGGGGGGGGCATTTGGGAATGGGATTGGGAAACACAGAGAGGCAGCATGGATAGGGGGAAGGAATGGTGTGAAGGAAGGGAAGGCACGGATGCTGGGCAGAGATCGAACCAACCAGAGTGGCGAAGGAAGCAATCAGAGGAGGGTGACTGGCGGGGTGATGTGAAGCAGCACAGGCGACATGACAGCAAGTGGCGTGGGCTCACATCAAGTGGCGTGGGGAAGGTGTTGGTGTCACGGTCGTCAATGAGATACAACCCCTCTGCACCGCTCAGAATCTCCTTCGCCTCCACCTGCCAGGGTCACAGGAGTGAGAGTTGTGAGGGACACGGAGTGGAGAGGTGGATGGGGTAGAGTAGAGACCAGTAAGGGTTTGCTTGTTGTGTAAGGAGAGGGAGGTCAATGAGGAACAACCCCTCTGCACCGCTCAGAATCTCCTTCGCCTCCACCTGCCAGTGCCAAGGAGCACAGTGGTGTATAGGGTAGAGAGTACACCGCTTGGTGTAAAAACTTGTTTAAAAAACAACTCTCCCTCGCATATGGCTGGAACGGACAAGGCGCATAGACGTGCATGGGTCGATGCCATAAGTCTCTATCTCACACACCTCTCCCTCCCACCCACGGACCACATACACCCTCCCCCCTCCCCCCTCCCCCCTCCCCTCTCCCCCTCTCCCACTCACCTCAGACAGCGGCTCCTCGAGCGTGAGGTTGATGCTCTCTGCATGGGCGCGCATCACACCTGGTAGGCGAGATTTCTATCGCTCCATGCACACACACCCTCCCCTCTCTCTCACCTCGGACAGCGGCTCCTCCAGTGTGAGGTTGATGCTCTCTGCATGGGCGCGCATCACACCTGCCAGGTGACTCTGTCCCTCCCCCTCACGCAGCATCCCTCAAAAGACCCCTCCCCATTCCCCCCTCGCACCTCGGACAGCGGCTCCTCCAGTGTGAGGTTGATGCTCTCTGCATGGGCGCGCATCACGGGCACGCGGATGCACGTGGCTGTCACGGCCACTGAGGGGTCGCTCTGGAGGCATGAGGGGGGGTTAACAAGGGCATGCAAAGGAATGGGAGGGGGAAAGGACAGCAGAGATGGGGCTTGGGCAAGACAACACGCATCACCGGCACGCGGATGCATGTGACTGTCACCGCCACTGAGGGGTCGCTCTGCATGGAAGGGGGGAGGAGAGGAAAGAGCAGCAAGGGTGGGAAACCCTTTTGAGCGAGACAGCAGGCAACACCGGCACGCGGATGATGAGTGTTGCAGCGACGGCCACTGAGGGGTCGCTCTGCATACACAGGGGGGGATCACAAGGGCATGCAGAGGCAGGGGCCGTGGGGTGAACGGCGGCATTGGTGGGGTCTGCTTTTAGTCTCCAGTGCAGGGTCTGAGACATCTGGGCAACACAAGGTGACTCCTGAGTCGACCTAAAAAACACTGGCCGAAATCGTATTGCCCGACGCCGGCCTTAAGTGCACCACAAGTTACTTTACAGTGCAGGGTCTGAACCCTCACGCCCACAAGTGGCACTCACCCAGATCTTGCGCGTCTCCTTGACCATTTTCATCTCCTCCTCGTTGTACCCATTGGCCGTCATGGGCGAGTTGTGCGAGAACAGGTTGAACGCGTACTGGGCGCGCACACACAGAGGAGAGAACAAGGAGCGAAGGAAGGGGGAGTAGAGGGCAAGGGCAAGGGCAGGGCAGGGGCAGGCAGAGAGTCATTTACTCGGACTCTCAAAACTGACTTCTAACATACTCGCGTGAAAACAGGCCGAACGCGTACTGCTCGCATACATGGGGAAAGCGAACGCGGGCACGCATGGGAACGCGGCCACGCATGGGAACGCGGGCACGCAGGTGGACAGATGGCAAGGGCGGGAGACGGCAAGGGAGGGAGAGGAATAGGGAGAGAGAGAGGGAAAAAGAGGGAGGTGAGGGGAGAGGGAAAGGGAGGGGAGACGGCAAGGGAGAGGAGAAGGCAAGGGAGGGGGAGGGCAAGGGAGGGAAGACGGCAAGGGCAGGAGAGGGCAGGGGCGGGAGAGGGCAAGGGAGAGAGAGGTCAAGGGAGGGAGAGGTCAAGGAAGGGGATGGGTACAAGAGGGGAGAAACAATGCAGGGGGTGGCATGGCATGGTCACCTGGCGGCCAAAGATGGTGGTGGTGGGTGGCTTGCCTTCCAGCACCTGCTCTCACACGCACAGACAGACACACGGCAGGGACAGGGCAGCGCACGGAGGGAGGGGTATGATGTAAGGTGGTATGTGGACACGGGGCAATAGCACGGGGAAATGGCATGGTGGTGGTGGTCTTGCCATCATCCAGCACCTGATCTCACACGCACAGGCAGGAACAGGGGCAGGGCAGGGATATGACAGGGGCAGGGGACATGGCATGGCACGGAGGGAGGGGTGTGGGGTGAAGTGGTGTGTAGGCACATGGGGGTGGCATGGGGTCAACGGCATGGGGTGGATGGCGTGGGGGGGTGGCGTGGTGGTGGGATGCTTTGACATTTGACGGCGTTACCACTGACGTTCCCCTCACCACATTCCAGTTTCCTCACTGACTGCCCTTCTCTTTCCCCGTGTCCCTTCCCCCAATCGCTGCCCACCCAATGCCCGCCTGCCTGTCCCACTTGCCCCATCCCCAACTCCCCTTGCCCCACGCGCTTACCTCCTTGGTCTGCAGCTCGAGCTCCGCCATGGCGGCCGCGCCCGCGCCACTGGCGGCCTGGTAGGTCGACACCACCATGCGCTTCACCTGGCCAGGGGGGAAAGACGGGGGAAAGTGGGCACAGAGGGGGAAAATGGGGGGAAGGAGGATAAGGGACGGGGGGGTGAGTGAGAGCAGACCTGGTACGTTGAGATCACCATGCGCTTTACCTGGTGAGTGTGAGAGGGGTTGTGGGGGGGAGGAGGAGATGGGAGGACGAGAGTGGGGGATGAATAAGAAAGTGGGAAAGGAACGACGGGGTGAGTACGAGCAG